TAGTGGAGTGACCCAGATGAAGATTCAGCAAAGCAGACTGAGAAAGAGTGATCAGATAGGTAGAAGGAAAACCAGCAGAGAGTAATTCACCAAAAGCTTAAAGAGAAAAGTGTTATCAAGGAGAAAAGGGTGGTCAGAGAAGAAAGGAAAGGAGGGGACTTCCAAGTACTAAGGAAATGAAAGGGGAGTTTCTCTGGACACTATGGTAATAGTCTGGATATAAAGTATACAGGTAGGTTGGGCACCTGCAACTTATAGATTCAGGGCATATCTATAGTTTGGTTTATGTAATATTTCTTTGTACCCTTTTTCCATGGGCATTATGAAAGCACCCTGAGTAAGAAACTTGATCTCTAGATTACACATTTTCCTCACTTTTTTGTTGCTTTTTTGTTTTGTTTGGTTTGGTTTTTTTCTAGGCAATGGGGTTAAGTGACTTGCCCTGGGTCACATAGCTAGTAAGTGTCAAGTGTGTGAAGCCGGATTTGAACTCTGGTTCGCCTGACTCCAGGGCCAATGTTCTATTTACTGCACCACCTAGTTGCCCCATTTTCCTCACTTTTGAGGGTTTTTTTTTAACTTTTCCACAAAAGCTTTGTCAAACACCTAAGGTTTCCTGCCATAATTTAAATGTCAAGGAGAGGTGATGGTTGTGGTTAAGGGCAATAGTGATGGCAGACTACTTCCAGTAATCATTCTGGTTCAGAAGTTCAGCTTCCAATATTTTGATTCTAAAGACAGAACTATATCTGAAGACTAACAAATAGTTTTACTACAAAAAGTGTTATTATTAACTAAATAGAATAAAAATTCCTGTAAGCACAAACTACAGTCTAGGAAATTCAATAAAAAAGGAACAGATGGAAAAAAATTACCATGAAAGACATTTCACAAGAAATTCACAGAAAGCTTCTGAATCAACTTGCAGTTGATTTTTTTGGCTTAAGCATCAGTTGCTTGTTGCAGGGGCCCCAAAAGCAAGATGGAGTATCATTCTTATTGCTAAAAAAATTTCCCATTTGATGGACAAGGGCTTGAAACAGAGATGCTAAAAGATGCTATGTCTTTGTTAAAGGCAATGAACTAGATGAACAGACCATCTTAAGCTCAATATAGGCTTCCAGTACCCAATAAGGAACACAGCTACATAAATCTTTGAAGAAAATGCACATATTTGGGGATAAAAAGTGAGAGAGGGCTTTGATGAAGTAATGAATACAAAGATGGATAAGCCTTTCACATCCTTAACTGCTAAGGAACTACCAGCTCACAGATCAGGTTATGAATGTTTGTACGTGCTGTAATCTGACAGACAGCTAGGGCTACAAAACCCATCTATAAAGGATTATGCTTTTTTATTCAGACTTAGAATTAACTTCAGACTGGCTTATATTTTAATTTCATCAGTTTGGGAAATTTTGATTATGTCAGCTGAGATGGAAGCATAAGAATCTTCAAAATTAAAAGGCTGATAAGGGGCCAGACTAGAGGCTTAACAATTCAATTTTGTTATATGACTTAGTAATAGAAAGATCTTCAATAATAATTACTAAATAATTTCCTTACAACTATTCATACATGGTCTCCAGAGACACTGCTGGGAAGCTGGAGGGGAATATTTATAGTAAGAAGCAGGTCCTGATTAATGTGAATATCGAATACCCCTAAGTGGATGCATCATTTAAATTCTCACAGCATGCTTTCATTAGACTGGATTACCATATCTATATAGCGTTAATTTGAGTATGTGACCACTTCACAGGATTTATTCACATCAATCGAGACCTAAAGGTACATCGCTATCTCTTACCTTAAAAAAGAGAGAAAAGAAAATTGTAATTCTAGGAAAGGTGTGGACACTAGAATGCCAACCCCAAAACACCTGGAGACCATGTCTATGGAAAAGGAAGTAAAGTACAAAGTGAAACTTAGGAAGTAAATGTTCTAAAGAATGTGCATCAATATTTCCAGCAGAGTTTTCATAAAAGGAGAGTACGATCAAATAAACTATGAATCAGTTGGTTCTCCATAAAACTAAACCAAAATGCAACAGATCAGTTTAAATTGAATTCAGTAAATGCCCTATAAAACAAATGAATGAATCCTACCACTCTCGCTTATCTTCGCTCTCTCTGCCTACTGGCTCTTTCCCTATTGCCTACAAACATGCTTATGTCTCTTCCATCCTCAAAAAACCCTCACTTCATTCACCCATACTTGCTAGCTACTCTTCCCTATTTCTCTGCCCTTTTGTGGCTAAAATCCACTTCCTTTCATCTTATTATCTTAAGTCTATATAATGTGGCTTCTGACTTCACTCAACAGAAACTGCTCTCTCCAAAGTTATTGTTTTTTTCTTGACTGACAAATCTAATAGCCTTTTCTCAGTTCTCAGCTCTCTTGACCACCTGGATGCTAAGTAGAATGTCCCTCCCAATCTCATACTGCTCCTCAATTGCAGGACTGGTGATGGGGAAGGAAGAAGAAACCAAGTTGATCCCTGAA